TTATCTGCGCAGTGCAACTTATTTTTGTATTGAATGGAACGTCACTACGGCGTATCGATGGACCTTCAACTTCAAATTTTGACAACTGGAGACAGCAACAACAGCAACAGTACCCGATCATTTCATCGTGAAAGAGATACAGACCGAAAGACATACTGTACCTTTTCGTCTGCCAAAGCCGTGTTTTGTGATGTTCATAGATGCTACTATCAGCCTCAATCGCCTATGACGACAATGTCTGGAATAACTATTGCTGGAATGGTTACTAACGAATATTCAGTTGCTTACGTTATATTACTGTTGTACAATAAACCTCACTGCTTACAATTCATTCGTCTGTTTTATTCGCATAGTTAAATACTGAAAAGCAGGTTATTCTGATGACTTTGTCCTGACGGTAAACCTTCAGGTCATCGTCTATGACTTAGACCTGGCAACAAAATCTGAGATACCACTATGGAGTTACTTTCCTTGATTCGATAAGGTGACTAGAGATAAGCAGTTATAGTCACTGGACACGTGGCAATCATGAAAGAACTAGCGTGTTCTAGGAGATCAAAAAATAAAATGATAAGATAAGGTTGAGGCAAATTCTTGTTCGTTGAAGAACCGTTATTTCCAAAATGCAGCAATTTGCGCCTACAGTGACTTAGCTTAGTAGTGGACTTGAATGGATATTCTAACAAAGATTCGGCGACTCAAGGAAGGAAACAACAATCAGTCGGTAAATCTCCCGTTAAACGGTGAATACATGAAAACTGATGCATGATTTGCAAGCAATTGAAGCAAAGCAAACAACTTTGAGCATACGTGACTCAGAAGGTAAATAGGCAGTCAGAGGCAGGAAGTAAAGAGTGAACGGCCTCAGTTCACACGATACTGTCGACATGCTTTGCAGACGTGCTCACGCAACAACTACTTTCAAAGGAACTGCAGCCCGCAGTAGAGAAAAGAGGGATGATATTTCGTAATACAGTTAAAACGTGGTTGCACATTTGCATAATTGTTAAACAAAAGTCACAATCTGTTAGATCGTAGTAGAATTATCATTTAGACAACGAAGCGCTATGTAGAGCCATTTTGGCGAAAGATGAACGGCTCCTCGATCTGCGTCCTGCATCAATTCGCCCTTGCTTTATCTGTTACGGAGAAGTCGACAGACAGTTATCGCAGTCCCTCATACTACAATGGCACAAATGTGCATTATGCAACCCTTCAGACTTCAAGTTTCATCAAAGAGTCGAATCAGTTCGTTTCGCAACCCTGAGTTGCTGAAAGTACAATGGTGAGAGGTCGACAAGCGCCTACCTCATGGGGATAAAACTGCCCTCGTGACGAGATTTATTATCATGAAATTATATACGAGCTGCCTCGCTACAATGCAAACAGAAATACGTCTCAGCTGCGATTTTTTACCATCGAATGCTGCTCTTATATCGTGTTTTAACTCTCTGCTCAAGTCAAGCAGCGGTGCCACTGACACCGACCGATCTGCGCCCGTATCACGAGAGCCTGCGTTGTCTGGCGTGCTGAGACTCAGTAGGCTCTAAGCTAGCAATCAAGACCATAACCGATACTACATGCTAATAGCAGTATTACAAGTACATACCTGAAGTCATTGTCCGCCGTCGGCCCGACCATGTTGTCCATGTTCTCGATACACAAGGCACTGAGGGCGCTGCGGTGGAGTTGAGTCCCCATCGCTACGGTTGCCGATAACGAAGCCAGCGAGTTCGGGAGAAGATGAGGATAAAGATGAATCGGCAGCAGAACAGGCGAAGAATTCTGAGCGCAGATGTTGATCGATGCGACACGATGTACTGCGCTGCTGTATTGCTCTGCGCTCACTGAGAACCTATACCACGTGCGCTGGCATCAACGAACAGGCAAGCCAATGAGACGCGACGAACGAAACGACTGCGTCAAACCGAGGTACAGATACAGACGAGGAAATTGTGCGGTGCGGCAACGTACGACGACACGCGCGATAGAAACTTCAACCGTGTGTACTTTTTTTCTAACAGCACTGCAACGACTAGGTAGGCAACGATCGGTCACGTGGCCACAGACACGTCAGCCAGAAACCCACCACGCGAGTAGCTGATCGAGTACCGTCTTGACGACCGCAACGCAACTAGCTTCGGCTAAACAACGTTGCTGAGGATAACGGATAACTACTCCATTCGACGCAAAGGTACTTCGTGAATGGATGCCAGTGATCGGGAGTTAGATCACTGAGTGATTAATTTCTGGCACAGCGCAAAGGAGCATAAAGAAACGTCGTTAGTGCGTCTTTGCGCTTCGCAGGAAACTTCGATGCACGATATGATCTGGATTGTCGATCTCGAACTAAAAATTTACGTGCGCTACCGCGTCGCTCGATCCATCTAGCTTTTTCCTTATAAAGTTTCAGGTTTCTACGCGCCCCGATAATTTGCGTTAATTCGACATATCAATTATCATATTAGCTTTAGAAACACTAAACAAAGCAAATCTTTTGAAAGGCAGTTAAAATTTTAGATTTTACGTTATTCATCCGATTTTTCAAACCAACAGTTTCAACAGATAATAACCTCTTTTAATATCCTTTATCGCTGCTGAAACAACGGTCTGAAAGTTATATACGATGTTTGAGAAAAGCAGATAAATCGTCGTCTATATCTGTCCGTGACCAAACCTCGTAAAATTCTCCAATCTCCGAATCCGTTTGGCTGGACGATGATTGAAGAAACACCGGTAACAGTTCAGGAGAGTTGGACTGCCGAAGAACCACTCACAAAAACGCGCTGAAGAAGAGAGAAGATTGAAAGGGCGTGAACATGCGTGCGTGGTGCGTCCACAAAGAAGTCAAGTCGGATGATGGATTGTTAAATGTCATTGAATGAACTCAGTATTAGTGAAAAACGGTGATGGGCGTAGACTTAGCTTAGATGATCATAAATTCAATCAGAACTGACCTACTATATACATGGATCATCATTCATTCACCCTGCCCATCTTCTATGCACACACTTGACGCAGATAATTGCTGAAGCCGATCAAAACGCAATTTCCAATTACTAGTTTGTGCTCATAGAATTTGGTATTTCGTTTTGAAGGACCATCAGCAAATGAAATAAACCATCTAGCTGTGCTAACGAGATAAAACTAAACAACTGAGCGTTGTTAGTTGCACTTGAAGAGAAAATCAGGTTTGAATCGAAGATCTACTCTGAACTTAAGTCTCAAATTATCGTTTCTACTGTTCACAAGTATTTAATTTATTTAGTAAAGCATATAGAAAAAGTCATTACCTGTCGAACTTGTTTCGAAGAAACGGGAAGAAAACGCTGATCAAGAGATCAAAAATTGTTTTACTAGATGAAAATGAGTAGAGTAACAGCTTTCTTCGATACACTGTTGAATGAAGGCCTTTCCAAGACTTCGCCACAGACTTTTGGTCCTGTCACTTTCGTCCATCTTGATCTAGCGAAATTCTTCAGCTCATCCTGCCATCGATCTGGAGATCTTCCGAAGGGCCGATTACTGTACTCACTCTGATGTTTCTTTGATCAACGAAGTTCAGTTATTGGCGCAGTGAGTCCTGTATATTCCCACTTTAACGATTTCACTTTGGCAATGACATAGCAGATTCTAGTTTGTGATCTTATCCATTTATTCGTCTTAGGATATTTTCATTGATTCTCTATGTACATCTTTCGATACTACGTTGAATGGTCTGCAGTTTAGGACTAGTCTTTTTCAGGCTTACGATTCACTCTTTGCGCCCTTTGATTGAATACTTTTCATTTAGAGCACAAGAGCGGTTTCCCAGGTAAGAGCTTTTCAGTCTTAATAAGGCGCTATGTGCCATTTCCATTTATCTTTGACTGATTTCACATAATTCCAAATCTAAACTCATCGCAGAATCAGCTCTCCCATACTTCAAGCTGTTCACTTCAACAGGTGGCGCGGCACGTATTTGTTCGGCATGACTTCCGTTTTCTTCCAGTTCTACTTCCATGATGGCGTCGTTCAGCTTTCGGACCATTCATTAGAACTTTTGGATCAGAACATCGTCCATCAACGGCAAATGGTTTAAGCAGCGTCCATTTATATTCAGTCCCTGATTTTCCTAACGCAGTGGCTTCAAAACTTCTTCTAGGCTACCGTGAATAAATTTGGCGCTATTATGTGATACGCGCTCCCCTTTCGAACTCCTTTTTCGATTCTGAACTCATCGATCCCTATGCAAAAACACAGCCGCATGGATTAGTGAAGCTGCGTAAACCTGGCAACCCGTTCTTTGTTATCATACTGGCTAGGTGAACAATAACATTCCAGATTTCCAAAGAGCGTGATTTGTTGCTGAAATCTGCTGCCGCAGGGATGGCTTCCTGAGTGAAACAAAGAAAGGAGTTTCTGCGCAGATTGAAAGAACGTGATTATCAAGATTGCTGCATGACTTCCCTGGACGTCAGCATCATTTTCAACAATGTGAATAACAACAAGCTTGCTAATATTCTCCCGACATTTTGAAGAATACGGCGGAGAAGTGGAGGAGATCTAAAAGCGTGTTGAGAAATTGCAGCTTTGAGGAGCTGAGAACAATCGCTGGCCTGGTGATAAATGGCACCAGCTTCGAATTCGCGAACAATGTTTATCATCAGACGTACGGCATTCCTATCGACTCCACGGTGAACAGCGTTTTAGCTGATCTTCATACGGACTACCGGGAGGTGAAAGCCCTTAAGGAATGCCCTCAAGAATTCCGACCACTGTTCTATGTCCGATTCATTGATGACATTTTCCTGTTATTTCAACGAAACGAGGACGAACTGGAGAGATTCGGATGTTTCGTGAATTGCAGGAATGGAAAGGATAAAAATGACGAATTCGCCCTACTACCGAAGTGAAAATAACAACTTCATATCCTTTCTTGACGTACTGGTGAAGAGGGTGTAATCGTTTGAATTTGAGGCTTCCGTATATCGAAAACCAACACACCCCATTCGATACCTACACCCGGCGTCATGCGTTCCTCCAGGATTACTTAGGAACTTTGTGAAAAGCATGCGTTTGCGAGGCCAAGAGACCTTCACTTGCACCTCTTGCCTAAGTGCAGAAATCTGACATCTTCGCCAGGCGTTCCTAAAGAACGGTTACCAAAGGAGAATCCTTGACGAAGAACTTTTGCACCGCAGCTCAGACTTAAAGATGGTCAGTTCATATAGACCAATGGTAATTTTACCGTTCGTACCCTAGGTATTTCAGCGTATCACGAGGTACCTTAATGGCCAAGGGTTTAGAGTCTAATACACGACTGGCAGAACATTGGGGGACATTTTATATGAAAGTTTACACGCCCATTATAAACCAGAAGATATGCCAGATGTTGTCTTCAAAGTTCCAAGGTTTAAGTTAGAAAGTCCAGCCGGAAATTGAACATCTGTATAAAAGAGCGCCTTTCTGTGGTCCGCCTTGGAGATACCGACAAATCCGTTATTGCCCAACATGCGATTACTGAAAGGCATTCCTAGAGTCAGGCCAATGTGTCCATCATAGACAAGCATCAATCTAAATTAGGTCGGCTGATAAAGGATTCCTAGTATATACTGACAATGAAAGTCGGATGTGCAATGAAAACCGATCTTCTGGTTATTAGCGAACGATGGGGGGGGGCGATTGCAAAATTGATACGGTCGTTTTA